CGGTAAGGTGTGACGGAATAACCGGAGGAGTATAAAGCACACCTGTACACACTCATCATTAGCTTTTTTTTATTCAGCAGGCGCTCTGTATGTTGTTTGAAGAAAGCTCCAGTCCTACAAGCAGTGTGTCTTACCTGAAGAAGAAGTCTACCAGCATGTCCGGCAACCAGATGTACAGAAGGTGTGTTTTTTTCTTGCCCTCGGTACATCACGGATGGAGATTCTCATGAGATGTGTGTCTCATGTTTGGGGATGGAGCACGCACGGGCAGCTCTCGAGGGGGCTGCCTGCGCCCGTTGCGAAGCCCTTTCCGTGCGGGTACTGAGGTACAGCATGGCTCTCTTTCCGAGGATGGCCGGATGTGTTTTCCCCGCGGCGCGGGCCCTGCGGCCGCTGAGGCGGCCCGGCGGCTTCACTCATGGGTTCACAGCGTGATCTGTCGGAGGATTTCGGGACGGCTGAGGCTTTTTCCCGACCTTCATCCGCTGGCTCCGACGCTTCCTTTCCTCGTTCGGGAGCCCGTTTCGGCTTCTCCCGCTCGCGGTTTTGGATCCGGAGACGCTGCAGCAATCCGACTCCGAGGAGGCGGACGTGCTCAGCGCAGTGGACGATGACTTCCGGGTGTCGGGGCGGCGTCATCTGGCCGCGCCCGACTATGACGTGCTGCTGGAGGTGGTGACTAGAGCCGTGGCTAAGCTCAACATCAACTGGCCACGGGAGGAGCAGACACCACAGGCTAGTGGTAGCTTGATGAAAGGTTTCTTAAGCACCACACGCCACCTCCACGCCGGTCTCTGCCATTCTTTCCTGATTTACATGATGAGTAAATCATGGGGCAGACCCTTCTCTACATGGCTTTCCACACCCCGATCACTGAACTACAGTAATGTGATGGGGGTTAGGGACCGTGGTTATGGGAGGATGCCTCGGGTGGAGGATGAGCTTGCGAGCTATCTCTCCCCTCGACTTGCGTCCTCCCTGGAGAAGCCGGCATTACCATCCAAACCATGTCGCACCACATCCACGCTTGTGGGGAAGGCGTACATGGCAGCGGGCCAGGCAGGTGCGAGCTTGCACACCACGGTGCTTCAAGCCTACCAAGCCAACCTGCTACAGGAGATGGTTCAGAGGGGGGGTCCCTCCGAGGAAGATCTGGCGGAGCTTCGCAGAACCACGAAGCGTTAGACGCAGTGCGAAGCGTTCCGCCAGTACCTCCCTCGCCGGTCTGGACCCAAGGCAGCTGAGGCTGCCAGGCGTAGGTCCCTTCCCTCTACGAGCTCCTACGGAGAGGAGGGAAGCAGAGTGTCGCTTCTCGGGGGCCCCCGCAAGGAGCTGGGGCAGCGAGACGGCGCTCTCACCCTCAGCCGTCTGAGAGACGCGATCTGAGGACCGTCATCCAGTCCCGACGGAGCTCAGGGAAGACCGGGGTAGGGGAGTCTTTCTCCCCTCCCGCACCCCCCACCCCCCCCGGAGGCCGACCGAGGTCCCCTCCGCCGTGGCAACAGGTGATGTTATCCCGCCGTTTACACGTTCAGGACGCACCTGCCACCATCGAGTCCGCGCCGTACTGCCTGCCCCGAGGGTCTGCAGGCGGACGGCATCCCGACTCACTCACCGTGGATCTTCGGCGGCTCCCCCCTGCCGTTCTGGGGCTTCAGGGGTCCACCAGAAGATCACACGAGACACCGACCACCAGCCCCGAGGGGCTGGTTCCGTTGGCAGACTTTGCAGACGCTTGGCGGAGCCTGACGAACATTTCTCCGCGGGTCCTGCGCACTGCCATAGATGGGTATCGACTACAGTTCAAAACCCGCCCTCCAAATTCAACAGAAGAGAGGGGTGGTTTGGACTGTGGTCCGCCCGGAGCAAGGTCCGGTGTTGGGACAGGAAGTTTGTACTCTGCTGAGGAAAGGGGCCGTGGAACGTGTCTCCCCCCCAGACAGAGACGCCGGTTCTACAGCCGGTACTTCATAGTCCCCAAGAAGGACGGAGGGCTGCGTGCCCTATTTTGGATCTGCGGGTTCTAACCGGTCTCTGAGGAGATTCAGGTTAAAGATGCTCATCATCCCCGCCACCGTGACGCACATCCAATCTGAGGATTGGTTCGTCACGATAGATCTAAAGGACGCCTATTTCCAGGTCTCCATCCGTCCTTCTCACAGGAAGTTCCTGAGGTTTGCCTTCGGGGGTGTGGCTTACCAGTATCGGGTTCTTCCATTCGGCCTGGCACTTCCCCTAGCACATTCACCAAGTGTATGGATGCAGCACTGGCCCCGCTGAGGCTCCGGGGCATCCGGATTTCAACTTCATCGACGACTGGCTCATCCTAGCCCAGTCTCGAGAGTTGGCAGTTCGGCATCGAGATGTCGTTCTGGCTCGTCTGCGGCGTTTAGGGCTGAGGCTCAACGCAAAGACGAGCGTGCTGGCGCCCACCCAACGGGCTACGTTCCTAGGGGTTGCATGGGATTCGACAACGATGCGGGCACAATTGTCTCCGGCACGTGTCGACACCATATTGGCTGCCGTGAAAGGGGTGAAGTTAGGCCACGCCATCACTATGAAACACTTTCAACGAGTGTTGGGTCTCCTGGCGGCTGCGTCCAGCGTAATACCATCTGGACTGCTGCACATGAGACCCCTGCAGTGGTGGCTAAGGAACAAGGGTTTTTCCCCGAGGGGAATCCTCTCCGTCTGGTTTGGGTTACGCGCAAGTGTCTTCGTTCCCTATCAGTTTGGAAGGAAACTTGGTTCCTGTCCCAGGGGCCCGTGCTGGGAGGGTCTTGTCGCCGGCTGGTTCTTTCGACAGACGCCTCCCTCACGGGCTGGGGCGCGGTCATGGACGGCCGCTTTGCAAGGGGATCCTGGCAGGTGCATCGATCCGAGTGGCATATCAACTGTCTCGAGATGTTGGCGGTGTTCCAGGCTCTAAGGAGTTTCCTGCCCGATCTCCAAGGCCACCACGTCCTGGTTCGCTCCGAGGAGAACAACACAGCGGTGGTGGCCTATCTGAATCACCAGGGCGGTCTGCGCTCGCGCCCTCTGGACAGACTGGCGCGTCAGATCCTCCTGTGGTCCCAGCAGAGGTTACTATCGCTCAGGGCGATGTATCTCCTGGGGACGCAGAATCAGGGAGCAGACCTGCTGTTGAGGCAGTGGCTGAGGCCCGGGGAATGGAGACTTCACCCCGAAGTGGTTCGAGCCCCATAGACGTGGATCTGTTTGCGTCTCAAGAGACTACGCACTGCCCGCTATGGTTTCTCTCGTTCCTCCAGCCCCGTTGGGTCTGGACGCCATGGTACATTCGTGGCCGAGGCTACGTCTGTACGCTTTTCCCCCAGTCGCTCTGCTCCCGGGGTTCTGGAGCGGGTCCGCCAGGACTATGTCGGCCTACTGCTCGTAGCCCCGTTCTGGCCAACCCGGGTGTGGTTCTCGGACATCATGTCGCTCCTGGACGGCCCGCCGTGGCGGGTCCCTCTGAGGAGAGACCTGCTGTCCCAGGCGCAGGGCCGGGTTCTTCACCCTTGCCCCGCCATATGGCGACTGTGGGTCTGGCCCCTGAGGGGGCACAGTACCTAGAGGCGGGTCTAACAGCCGGAGCAGTCGAGACCCTCCTGAGCTCCAGGGCCCCGTCCACACGGAGGATGTACAGCCTGAAGTGGAGTGTTTTCTCCACTTGGTGTAGGGAGCGGTTGGTGGACCCTGTTACCTGCCCGGTGGTTCAGGTACTTGAGTTCCTCCAGGACCGGTTCTCTGCTGGTCTTTCCCCTTCCACCCTCAAGGTGTACGTGGCAGCTATTTCATCTTTCCACACCCCTCTGAGGGAGGGGTTCTTGGGGAAACTTCCCTTGGTTGTACTTTTCCTCCGTGGTGCCCGGAGGATGAGACCTGCGACTCGGTCCAAGGTTCCCACTTGGGATCTGGCAGTGGTTCTTGGGGCGTTGGCTGAGGCCCCCTTCAAACCCCTGGAGTCAGCTGAGGCTAAGCACTTGACCCTCAAGATGGCCTTTCTCCTTGCTATCACCTCTCTGAGGAGGGTGGGGGAGCTCCAAGCGCTTTCGGTTTCCCCGCAAGCCTGGAGTTTGCCCCGGGGAATATTAGGGCTATCCTGCACCCTCGTTCAGGATACATCCCTAAAGTGCCTTCTTGTGCGGCAGGGTCCACAGTGCTGCAGGCATTTCATCCTCCACCTCATGTGACGGCGGAGGACGGGAGACTTCATCTGCTCTGCCCTGTCAGAGCACTGAGTATTTACACTCTGAGGTCCTCCCGTTGGAGGAAGGCTGACCAGCTGCTAGTGTGTTTTGGGTCTCCCAGGGCCGGGCTCCCTGCATCCAAACATACTATTAGCAACTGGATTGTTCAGACTATTTCCCTGGCCTATCAGGTGCGCGGTTTGCCTTCACCTGTGGCTGTGAGGGCTCATTCTACCAGAGGCATGGCGGCCTCTCAAGCCCTCCTTTCTGGGGCCTCTTGCAGGATGTTGTTTAGCGGCTGGCTGGGCCACTCCGCACACATTCATTCGGTTTTACAGTCTTGACCTTCCTTCGGCACCTGGCACTCGTGCGCTCTCCTCTTAGTAGTGCCACTTTTATTGCACACAGGGGCAGGCGGGGTTTTCGGCACGGTTTAGTGGGTATCTCGTTCCCATAGTGTCGTAACCGACGCAGTTCGAGTTCCCTCGAAGGGGAACGTCTCGGGTTACGTATGTAACCCTGGTTCCCCGAGAAGGGGAACGAGAGACTGCGTCGGTCCGCCGCACCTCTCTCCCCGCCTGAAGCGCCTGCTTCATAGTTTAAGCTAATGATGAGTGTGTACAGGTGTGCTTTATACTCCTCCGGTTATTCCGTCACACCTTACCGTTCTAGCAACAGGCCAATAGGATTGGAGTGATTTCATTCACGTTCAGACCTGCTTCGCCTAGAGGCGTTCCCATAGTGTCGTAACCGACGCAGTCTCTCGTTCCCCTTCTCGGGGAACCAGGGTTACATACGTAACCCGAGACGTTCTCCTGGTTATCATTTCCCTCTGTCTCTTCCTGTGGATCAGGTGAGCAGCTCTGTTTCACTGAATCATTGAAAGTTAAATCACTGAAGGTCAGTTTGTCCAACCTAAAACGTTCAGTCATTTATTTTCTTATTTATTCTCCTAACCAGGAAAAAGAGGGCTTCCAAGGAATCGTCTGAGCCTGAAGAGAGACCAGACAACAGGGAACAGGTGAGAATAGTCACGGATCTTATTCAAGAACAAAAGTCACTCACTCTTCAAGTGCTGCTGGAGAATGAATCTGACTGAGAAGGAATTCATGTTTCTCTTTTGACATCCTTCTTCACAGCAATGAATTTCTAATGGATGTGACTAAATTCCTAGTAGATCCAGAAGCTTTCCTACTTTTTGTCCTTTCTTTGTAAATTCCTTTACTTAGCTCTTTTCTGTAATGCACGGTGAAGCAGGGTTATTTGTTCCATCATTACCACAGCTGTAGTTGCTTCAGTCTTTTCTGTCCTGGTTGCAATCATCTGTAAGAATTCACTATTCAAATGAAAAACCCACTCATGTAAAATATGTCTGTGCAGTTTCTACCTGAACAGCCAGAGGAGCAGGATAACCTTCAGTATGCCAGCATTCACTTCACCAACAACCAGGCAGATCCTCTCTACTCCAACATCAGACCAGCTCGCTCCCTCAGACACACGGAGCAACAAGATTTCATGGAGTACGCTGTTGTCACATTTAAGAGTAATACTGCCCCGAGGTGAGCAGCTCTTCTCACATTATCCTCACTACAAGATTAAAATGAAATAACTGTGAGATAAATATGTTGCTTTTGCATTTTGCCTGCTCTGGTTTTACATTTATTGTATCGCTGTTGGGATATGATAGTAATTATATTTTTTCATACAATGTCTTCTTCTTTTTTCTCAGATCCAGAGGTCAGGAAACTGGAGAGGATGTAGCTGCATTGTACAGCACCGTCAACAAAACCTATTGAATACAACAGATATTACATTTCTGATATTTCTCTGTTTCTTTATGAACTGATTTAAGCAGATAACTATTGATTTTTACAATATATTTCTCAGGATGGGCCTCAAAAAATGGGCTAATTAATTATATACCTTAGAGAAACTTTAACATAACATCCACCAGTATAGCAGTAGGGGTGGTGATGGAGCAGTGGATAAGACACATGCCTTCAGATTCCCACTACGACACATCCACCAATGTGTCCCTGAGCAAGACACTTAACCCCTAGTTGCTCCAGAGGCGTGTGACCTCTGACATATGTAGCAGTTGTAAGTTGCTTTGGATAAAAGCGTCATTTAAATGAGTAAATGTAACCAGTGTTCAGCTTAGATTTTTACTCTGAATGTGCAGCTTTAAAGAATGTGTAAAGTATTTTGTGACTTAAAGCATTAACTTGAATATTATTTGTGTATTTGTGTTTTTTACAGTCTTTTTGAAAGTTCAGCATTCAGTGACCTTTTATCTCTGCTCTCTAACAACTCTCCTTCCTGCCAAACCTCTTCCTGGAGACACCAAAATGTACCTGAAGTAACTGTTAGTGCACCAGAGGAAGTTAAGCCTCTCAGACCTAGGAGCTACTTTCAGAGCTAAACTTGTTTGTGTTTGTTTACTCAAAAATTGAGTCTTACTGTTAGGACCAGTTAGGTCACCCCATATTTTTATGGAGTTTCATAAAACTCAGCTAGTTAGGAGCTACATGTTTTGTGTGTATGACTCTACTCTTAGTTCAGGAGTAGTAGTTACAGTGATATCCAACATCAGTAAGTCAAAATAAAAAGAAACCGGTGAATTAATAACAGAGTAAAAGTAAGGCTGAGGCTGCTCCACAGTGTCTGTAAGTAAGTGAGGGAGTTTGGCATAATTACCTTCACAATTCTCTTATCTCAGCTAATGTGTATATAGTCTATGCAGTTTTTTGGTTGGCTTCCTTCTAATTTCCTTCTTTTCTAAGGCAGCTGTGGCTCAGGAGTTGGAGTGGGTTGCCTGTTAAATCCCTGGCTCCTCCAGGCTCTGAATGTTAGTTTCTGTTTGAGCACTTAGGCTCAGTGTATAAATGTGAGTCAATGATGGATGCAGATGTTGTGTAAAAGCACTTTGAGTGGTCAAAAAGACTAGAAAGGTGCTATACAAATATGGAGTCTTTACATCTATTTGTAATTATTTCAGTCAAATAGTGTCGGTGTTCGTTACCTCTTAGCCAGCAGTTTCGTGATGCTGTAACATGTCACTTCCCCCCCAGAGATCAATAAAGCTGAAGATGAAACTACAGAGTTTGCATTTCTTTCCTCTCTAAATGAGATTTCTGCCACTTTTTGTACCATTTGTTATTTTTACATCACTTTTTATCACCAGTATTCTGGTCTGGTGTTCCAGGTCTTATACTATCAATAAGACTGCATCATGTGACTTTTTTCCACTCTGACGCAGCACATCAATTTGAATCTATGGTGTGCATCCAAGCGATGCATCAAACTGTCAGTTTTCTCCTGTTCCTGTTTAGTCTAGCACCACTGACAGAACACAAACTGTGATAACACTTACGCTAAGATTCTTGTGTTTGTGGGGTGTTCTGATTGTTCATGTAAATAATGTAAAGAGGAAGGAAGTTAGGTGGATTTTAACAGCTTCGACTTCTGTTTCCTGCTTTCAGACCACAAAGGAATGTTGTCTTGTGAAGATAACTTAATTTCATGTTAGGTAGAAGTGTTTTTGATTTGACTGATTTACTTTGGTGTACATTATTATCTGCAGACATCTTTTAATGTCTGAAGTCGCACAGAGGGATGAGAGGAGCAGTTATGAGTTTAACAGCAGCAGCAAGTGGATTTGTCGTCCTTCTCCTGACTGTACCAGGTGCTGTTTATCTACATTTAAGTTGTGGGGGGTTAAGTTTACATTTAGTCAAAGCATCCTGAAGTTAGTTTAAGAAGAAACATTTAATTAAATCATTTATTGTCAGACGTTCCTAGATTTGACCTGTACAGTCATGAAGTGTGGTACATTAAAATACCTTAAAACTCTGACTGCAACACCAAACCTTAACTTTTGGACTCAGTGCTTCTACTTTGGTGTATAAATGCTTGTGTCTGGATTGTTACCACACAGTGGTTTGTGGATTTTCTCGTATATTTCAAATATAGTCTATAATCTGTATCCTCGATACCATAAATTTGAATGCTGTGTACAGTAAGGGTTGCAGAGGAGGGAAATACGTTCTTGGATGCAATGTGATTTTTGAATTATTCATCCCCATAGAAGGACGACTACTTGTCTCAACCTGTGGGCACTTTTAGCACAATGCAGTGATATTTTGGTAGGAGGAGGGGGTCTGATAAGACTGATGCTAATCACTCAATCATTCTGCTTCTCTTCTTGTTGAGTCTCAAACAGTGAAGTCTTCTCGCACATATTTCTACTTTTATGTCATTAAGTTGATGGCTAACCTTTTTAATTATGTAAAATCACTTTTTCACTTGGATTTGCAGGAAAACTACGTGTTTCATTGCCAAGCAGAATGCTTGAGTCAATGCCAATGCATTTCTTTCTCTTGAATATGAAGTCAAAATAATGAGCGAGCACCAGCTCACAATTTCTACTTAGGAAGTAAAAATTTGTACTTAGTATCTTATGATTTAGATTTTTTGTTCTTTCTATCATTGTTTTCTCTTCCTGGTAGAAATTGACTTCTGGACCACCTAGAAATTTTAATTATGGATTTGGGCAAATTACAAGTGTCCAGGATCTGATGTTATGGGGAATGCCCTCAGTCAGCAGTCTACCATAAAGTTAATCTGTTTTTACATGGATTCCATGGATTTGATGAATTGATCTTGGATGAGCACCAGCCGAATGGACAAAATGGCAAAGCAACTTTAGGGTTTTAATGTCAGATCTCCAAAAAACTTTAAATACAAGGTTTCAGTAAGCACTTTTACTTAAAAGTAGGGCTGTCCTGCCTATAGTCGATTGATAGTCGAATCATATGTTTTTGTGCATGGTGATTGCGAGCCGAGCGGGGGAGAATAATACACGTTAGCTCCACTTTAATCTTGAGAAGCTGCAGAGCTGCAGTCTCTATTCATTCAACCTACACTGTAAATTTCCAGCTAAACTGATGCTTAAAGTTGAACATTCTCTCTCTCTCCTGCCATTCACTGGTATTCTGCAGAGTTTTGTGTGCATGCCGTGCTGCCGACAACTGCATGCACGTCACGGTTCCTCACGGGTCTATTTCAAGTAGCCGGCTGTTTAAAAAACGATAAAGTATTCTTTGTGTGGTTCATCAACGGTGATAAATTATCCGAAAGTCCCGCGAGGTGCGGACAACTCGTAACAACACCAACGAAGCTGGGGCTCCGTCTCTTCAGCAAGTGTTTCTCTTCCGCCACTATTGGTTCGTTCCATTTACCTCAGAAGTCGGAGGTCGGAGCTGTGAATGACGTCACACCCGAGTTGACGGCGTTCCAGTTAACAAGAAATTTTGACCTTTGAACGCGGAAATTCCGACTTCCAATGTCAAATGGAATGCACCATAAACATGCGCACTGACGACCCAGGGTTAGGGTTACAACTTAGAGAGTTATTCACGCACTTTAAAAATATTTATTGAACGATGGAGATTTCTTTTTATTTGTTTATTTACAACATTAAACGTTGAAATGTGTATTGTAATAGGCTGTATATTACTTATAGGGAGAAAACTGGTAGTTCTATGTAAAATCAGACGTCAAGCACCCCCATATCGTCAAAATGGCATGATCCTTGTTTTGCTGAGAAGCCTCGACAGAGATTGATGGTCGAATCAGGCTCCACACATCGAAGTATCAAATCTTCCACTATTGGGGTTTTATGCCAAGTTTTGCCTGCCGTTTAGACGTCTAGACGTTTAGAGTCTTTAATATTTTAATAAACTTAGTAGAAGTACCATTCCTTGAGATTCAGTAAATATATGTGGTGATAACCTGATAATCAATGAGCACAGCAAAGTGTCTGAAAAGAACCTAAAGAGGTGGCTGCATAATCCGGCAGAACAAATTTTGTAGGCTACCTGCTGAGATTTGCATCCACTTCTTTTCTGAGCATAAATGACGGTTATCACTCGCGAGGTGCATGCAATTCTCGGCAGGCGGGCAGAATTCGGCACAACAGGTGTCAGCCCTTCTAAAAAGTACTAAAAAGTGGTTGTGCCGCCCATTGATTGAATGCGAGACTCCGGTTCCTTCACAGTTCATAAAGAACACAGTAATACAGACCACTTTAGCCTGCTTCTCAACCAACGGCAGAGTCATTTCCCAGAAGCAATCTTCACAGTCAAAGAATATGATTCTTCAACTTACACAGTTGTAGCAAACACCACAACATATGGAGTAACAATAAAGAAACAAACTAGCAGGTAACCTCACCGCTGCAGGTACGTCTTTTTCTCTCATGAAGCTTACTGACCTACAGGCCCTACTTCCGGGTTTTGTCATGTCAAAATAAAAGTAAGTATTTCAAAATAAATACAATAAAACATGGCTGCCTTTACAGTGGTACTTTCCTGCTCCACTCCTAATACATAGACTTTTTTATGTCTGAAATAAATGGGCAAGGCTGAAGCACCCAAGAGTCATAAATATTCCTATGACAGCCTCTCATTAAAAACAGAAATACCTGAATACCTAAAATACTTACTCTTTTTCATTTCCAGTCTCACACTCCGTGGCAAATGGTTTGACTCCTCTGGAAGTAGTTTTGTAAATGTACAGTAGTTCAATTAAGTCCTACAAAAATAAATAAGTAAAATGAAGTCTGTTTTCTGATGTTGTTATTGATCGGATTTTGGATTCTGAAGTCACCTGTTTTTCAGTTGTACAGAGTCAGAATGGCTGGAGAGTGATTTACACTTCTACTCCGATCTGTGCCGTAAAAGGATCAACAGTGGAATTAGGCTGCACCTACATGATACCAAAGCTGAGGAAACATTCTGGTTTACGAAAGAGAGTAATAATGTTTATGTGGATCTGAGATCGGACCCGGCGTATTCAGGTCGCGTGACGTATAGCTGTGATAAGAACCGCTGCACTCTGAGAATCACAGACCTGAGAGAGAGCGACTCAGCTGAGTACAAGTTCAGGTTCATAACAAACCAAGAACGTGGGAAATATACTGGTTTACCTGGAGTCACTCTGTCTGTCACAGGTAACAA